ACAATACGGTGTTCTACTCTGTTCATTTTAGTTACACTACCTAAATAAATTAAATGGTATGGATTGCTATGGCTTTACTTCTACAAATATGGTGGCAACTTCACAAACTTTTTGTAAAAAATTTAACCTTACTAGTATCAGTGACATAAATAGTTTACCCTTAAATCATTGCCTATGATAAATCAATGGAGCTTAAAAAAAGCAAAATGACTACCCTCCTTGGCACAAGTATGTTATGTAGCTAAGGTGTATTCAGCATAAGAAGATTATGGTCAAGTCGACATTTGCAAAAGTCAGTTCTTCAAATTCTTCAAAATGGATGGTCTAGATCTGATTTTGCAGTAGTAATAAATTTGTAGTAGCTTTGGAGTGCGAAGCCAAATTTTTTGGGAGATTGTTTTTCAGAGCGATTACTCCAAATAACATTTGATTTGGATCTCTAAAAACTCTTCATTCTTTGCTCCATTACCCCCACAATTTTAGAGCCCATATCACAATGGTGATGACTAATATGGAACCCTAACCCACAACAAATGTTGTTTTTTAGAGGGCCAAACATTATAGTCTTGGAAGATGAACTATTTACCCCGTAAGAGAGGAACAATTTCCCATTAGAGATGAGCAATTTAACACTTAAATTTCAAAATATCCATAAAAAACCACACGGTCTTGAGTTGGAATTGTTGCAGATGGGCAAAATGTTAAAAGTAGTTCATGGGTATATTGATACATCTCCCTAGTATTAATGCTCCTAGAAATAGTTTTCTTTCCCTAATATTTGATAAGGCCTACAAATAAAAATCAAGTTCTTAAAATTCATCCATCAAGGATAATCATTATTTCTTTCATTCCATAACTTGATATGGGTGACACTGAGCTCATTAAAGAAGATTCAAAAACCAAACTCCAAAAATGGTGCCAATTTAGAGTACGATCATCATCATCATGGCCATCGTCAAGCTTTTTTCTAACTAATTGGGATTGACTACACAAATCCTAGTATGCTATTATGCTTTATTAAAGGCTATTACTCTTAATAAAGCCATGAGTCTCCATATCTACCAATTTTGAGGACGATCCATATTTCTATGTTTAGGAGAGGGATAGACACATATGGTTATTCATTCCATCAAAAACATGAGTTTGGGTGGGGAAGGACAATGTTTTGGTGCAGCTGGGGCCCTTCTTATGAGGGGGGCTCAAACTCCATAACCTAAGATGCAAATGACTAATATGCCTGAATAAGGGCCCCCAACCAATTCATAAAATTTCATGATCCTTATCGCTTTTCGATACAGCTCAGTTAATCATCTGCAATTAAACCGAAATGCCTCAAGTAACTCAATGACCATCTTCATTCCTCTCTCTCTCTCT